TTTTCTTGTTTTCGTGGTGTAATTTTTCCGGGTTTTGGTATTGGAAGTTGTTCCTCTGTGATAATGGAATTTTACAAGTGGCATTTATAACATTGTCAACACCAGTATTCGAAAGGAGACAGCGAGCTGAGTAAGTGTTAGATTTTGGCTCACTACCCGGAAAGACACACTGTAGTACAACTGCGTACAATCGTGTAGCTTTAGGTCAGCAGGGACCCCACAGCCAGTTTAGATCAAGAATACCATAGGCTTGTCAATGTACTCTCGAGTTTCGTGTTTTTTAACCCAAGAAAAGTATCTCACCGCCATATAAGACGGATGGTTCCGAACTGAAAGTGCGAAGTCAGCAAATAGGTGAACGACATAAAGATCTCTCTGTACTATTGTTCATGTAATATGCATTATTATGATGTAGGCTGAAAAACCCGAAGATTGTTTTTCATCCGAGCCATGATCTCTGCTCAAAGAATCGTGTGTAAAGAAACACGTTGAAAATTACGATAGTCTCTGGAAGTATGCATTAGATTTTTTTCTTAAGAAAGTGGGTGGGAAATTTTTGTTACAATGCAATTTTCATAGTCGGACATTATCCATTGTTATTATATGGCTAGCTCAGTGAGCGGCAAGATGAATCAAACCCTCCGCTGTGACTGGCTACCCGAGCGGACAAGATGGAGCTATCCTTCCCGCTCGGGACTACCCGCCGTGTCCCGCAAGAAAAATTTCCCCGAAAGCCATAGAATAAATACTTTATTGACCAAGTTTGTTCGGTCAAGATAGCTGGATATTGGCCTCGTTCTTTTCTCGCGAGTTTCTGGACCTGGACTCCGTCTCGGTCCATAAAGACGCGAAAAAAGAACTTGGCCAATATCCAGCCATCTTGACCTCACACTTGGTCAATAACCTATACTTCCTGTCTTCTACAGAGAGTGTTTGCAAGCCTTGTCTTCTATGACTAATCACGACTCGTTATCTTATGAAGGGTCAATAAATCAAATTATCTGGAACAACAAGTATATTTTAAGTGAGGGGACATCCATTTTGCAGTCGTTTTTCAATAACTAAGGAATTCTTAAGGTTGGTGACCTGATTTCTAAGGAGAGCGTTTTTCTCAAAAGTGACAAAATTCTGAGTTCCTCTTTTCCCCCTTGTTAGTCCTTTGCCCTGGGTGTTTTAGATGCTGTCCCAAAGGAATGGCGTTCTATAATCAAAACAAACCCTTATTGTGCTCCCTCTCCTATGGATCAAACTTGTTTTGCATTAATAATTGCACTGAGGTAAAATGATCGTTACATCTAAGTTGGTCTACAACGAATTTCGCTCGTTGAAGCTAACTCCTGCCAATGCATTTACTGGAAAAGGTATTCTTTAGATATCAAGATAAGAGAATCCCAATATAAATTGTTAAACCTAATTATTTTCACTAATAAAAAAAACTTCATCAGTTCAAAATGGTGGAATTCCCTTTATGTACCTTTTGCAATGCTGAGGAGGAATCCCTGGAGCATTTATTGTTTTTTTGTAAGTCATCGAGTTTCTTTTGGAAAGAACTTTTATCTTGGATTGCAAAGGATATCAACACTGTGCTTAACGTCTCACTTTTAGGTGTTCTTTTTGGGAAATTTGATCTTGATAAAGATTTTCTTTCAGTGAATCATATTCTCTTGCTTGCTAAATATTTCATTTATGAGTCCAAACTTTCTAAAGTTATTCCATTACTTTTAGTCATCAAAGCAAGGTTAAAAGCAACCTATAAATTAGAATTATACATTGCAAAAGAGAGGGGAATTTTACTAAACCACTGGAAAAAGTACAATAATTTTCTCTCTTGGCTGTCTTGATGACCTTCATCAACTAAACGACCGATAAACGAGACTTCGAAGCGTCAAAACAATTGTTTACTCAAAAACATGCACACAGTGTTTTTCTGTATCAGTAATGAACAATTGTCCAGTTTTAGACACAGCAACACTCCGAGGTTTCTCAAGCTGAGTGGCTTTTCCTTTTACCGAGTTTAAAAATTTTCCCTCGAGCGTAAAAACTTGAACATTGTCACCTTTGTTGTCACAGACTATCAAGTTGTTAAACTTGTCAACAGCGAGTCCAACAGGACGAAGCAGCTTACCTGGCCCCTCTTGACCAATATCATGTAGAAATTCTCCATCATTGTTAAATACCTTGACGCATTGAGCCAAGTCATAGGTGACATAGAACCTGTCTTGATGTAGTAAGGCTAACCACGGGGACGTGTCAAGGTTTGGAGCGCTAAAGGACTGTAGCAATTCAGTACC